GAGTTGGTACAAGGCACCTCGTGGGTGCAGGCAGGTTCTCCTAACCCTGTCACACACACATGTGGCGGTGTCTAGAAAGGGACCCTCGTCTCTGAGCCTTTTGCATACCTTAGTGGTGGAATGGCCTTGTTTTTCCCCCCGCTGGAATCATCCAGTAATTGTCTAGCTAATAGTTCTTGTCCCCAGACCTGGACTAAAGCTAGGCTTGTAGACTCTGGGAGAATCCTGGACTCTATCCTGAGGCGGGCAGTGCGTTTGTCTCAAGGTACCCAGCTTCTCTGTCTTTAAATGTTCCTAAGCTACCCTGGGCATTGGCAACAATGTAGAGATGACAAACAGGGGGCCTTGGGTTATTTTATTTATTTATTTTTAAATAAAGGGTTAACCACTTCTTTATATTTAAAAATTAAGCATTAATTGTATTATGACAAGCCCATCGTTATTGTAGATAATGTTAGTGTAAATACTTTGGAGCATATATCTTGAGGTATACCAGATTTCTACGTGTTTGGACCAAATGATTGCACATCTGTGTATATAATATATCTATTCTTGTATATATAAGGTCTGCATATCAAATCGTACACTTATATGACCATCAGTTATATTAAGGATGGTGGCAGGGTTGAGGGGGAGCTATAAAAAAAATCAGTCCCATTTAAAATGACGTTGCATTGACTGAGACCCGCTTCTCGTGGTTCATTGTGTGTTGAAGGGAGCATTTCTAAGTAATCACCAGCTAAGAAACCCCCTACCCTCTTTATTATCCTCCACATTTTTCTCCATGTTTGCCCACTTGAGGCATATGGTAAGTAGGAGAAAGGCACTTTGAAGAGATATAGAACTCTGTGTATCACATTTTCCATTTTTATTTCAATTTTTAATTGCCCAGAGCCTAATTTCTTTGGGCCTCTGCTGATTTGCACATTTGAGATTCATGTGTAAATATGCATGTGGCACGTGTGCACGCCTGGGCCTCCTTATCACAAAGTGTGCTCTCTCGGTGTTTAAATACACACAATCCACATCGACACACGATTATGGGCTTGCGTATTTGCCTCTTCTCCAGAATCAGGTTAATTTTCCCTCTGCTAATCCTCAAACCCATTAAGTTCCCTCCACCACCCCACCACCCCCACAAAAAAAATCGAAAACCCTACCACAGACCAGTGGCCTCACCCCACTTCTCCAGCAGGCGGGGTGCTGGAGTGAAGGTTCCTATTAGGCAGACTTCATTAATGTTACCAAATATACCCCAGCACATTTACTCGTCTACTGTGAAGTATTATCATAAATAATTAAAATTAAACTGCACTTGTCAAAATAAATGAACAAAGTAGAGTTAGTGATGTCTCTGCCTTGATTTGCTTGCCTCGGTTTGCTTAGTCACTAATTTGAAGAAAAGAAGAAAGACGGAAGGAGAGAGAGGAGGGAAGACAGAAGAGACCGCCAGGGGAAGAGGACAGGAGAGATGTGGAAAGAAACCTAGGAAAACCCCTACCGTCTCTGCCCTTAGGTTTCCAGTCATTAGGGCGCTCTGGGAGGCTGGAGTGCGGCCTCTAACGTCGGCTCATAATGAATATTGAGGTGTGGATGTGGAAGGAGGGATTTCTTTGTTTACTGAGGAATGGCCATGGGAATGGGGGAGAGGATTGCCTTTGGGGATTAAGGAGTGGGCTTTGTTTTTATGAAGGGCCTTACTTCTTTTCTGAAGTTTTCTGCAGCTAATTGATTCAATTCAGACATTCCTCCTCCCTACTTGGCCAGCCAAGGCTGTGCGTTTGTGAGATGTGCACAGCCCCATTTCCCCATCTGCTCTGGCCCCTTTCTCCACGGTGACCCTTGAAAAGGGTGTGAACATTCACATTGGGGGATATCACAGGCTATAGACAAATCAGTTAGGGGCCAAGGCCTTTGTATGTGTATGTGTGTGAGATAAGCCACGTGCATAATACACCTGAATATATATTATTCAAAGTATAATTTACATATAGAAACAGATCATAGCTATACAGTTGTATGGATTCTGACAAGTGCATTTTACACCTATGTAGCCAACACTCAGATGGACGGCCTTTCCCTCACTTCCAGAAGCTTCCTTCCTGCCTCTTCTCACTCAATCCCTGCTTACCTGCCTTCTGATGCCTCTTACCGTGGATTACTTTGACCTATCTAGAATTCGACACACATGGAATATATCCTAGGACTTTTTTTTTTTTTTTTTAAGGCTTGATTTCAAGTCTGGAGGGAGCACTGTCCTCAGAGGCCTGGCTGAGCGAGTGTCCAGATTTCATGTTTACAGTCACATTGGACTTGCGCTAAACACTTTCCCCTCGGATGGGCCCAGAAGTCAAACCTGTAATTAAATTTGGGGGAGGGGTTGCTGATTTGGGCTGGTCTTCTGCCAGGACAGCCCTGTTCTCACCCGAGGTCTGTTAATGAGCTGGGGACAGGTGAGCCTCACACATTCCAACTTGCCTCTCTTCAGCGGCATCCAGGAGCCTACGGAGAGCTATTAATGGAAGGTGCCGGCTTTGTGCTAATTAGAACTTCCTTTCAGCTTCCATCTGCACAGGCCCTCTGACCCCTCAGTGGTCAGCGTCACCCCTCCCCATCAGCTTGCAACTTAGTCTTGCGCCCCTTCCCTATGAATTAGGGGGTGCTGTGAGTGGAGCTGCTCTCCTCTGTCTCCAGCCAAACCCCGGGGCTTTGTGTGTTGCAGGAATATACAGGGTGCCATTTCTCGAGTCTTCTCTGTCTTGTTAGGGTGGAGATGCACTGCAAGTGGGGCAGGGGCTCAGACACCACAGCCATCCTCCTGGCTAGGCTGGTCTCACACCACCGATTTGGGTTTATTTTGAAAGGGACCCGCTATCCTCCGCCCCCTGGGGAGTGTGGCTGCAGACCCTTGTGCCCTCCATCCCCCCTCCCAGGTTCCCGGTGCCTCCCAAGTCTGGTTGTACCCACCCGGTCTCGTCTCAACCTTCAGGTGCCCCTTTATTACCTCAGGCAGCCTGGGGGTGGGGGCTGTGTGCCTGGCTCTCTTCTGAAAAAGCCCAAACTTGCGATTTCCTAAAATTTATTTCACATCAGGCCCAATGGGCATAATTTTTTAAATGGAGGTTGTCTCTTACAGAGGCTTCATTGAAAAAAAAAAAAAAAGAAAGAAAGAAACATTAACGTCACATTAACGTCATTTAAAGAAAAAGCGCCTCTCAGCTTTGGAGGCTGGGGGAGTTAGGGCTTTCTGCCTGATTATCAGTTGGGATGAAATCTTTTGCAGGAAACCAGAAAGAGGGGTATTTCCTTGCAATGTTCCTCTTTTTAGCTCCTGAATCTCCTCAGGTCTCCATTGGGGTTGTGTGTAAAAATATCATGGCCAATCTGCGCCTTCATCTCATTTTCTCCTGCGTGAATTATCCTGGTAATAATGCAGGTCACCCACTTCTTTGGCTGTGTAGACTGGGATTTAAAATTTTTTTTAACGTTTATTTATTATTGAGAGACAGAGAGACACAGAGCGTGAGCAGGGGAGGGGTAGAGAGAAGGGGAGACACAGAATCCGAAGCAGGCTCCTAGCCGTCAGCACAGAGCCCCACATGGGGCTCGAACCCATGAACTGTGAGATCATGACCTAAGCCGAAGTCAGTCACCTAACCAACTGAGCCACCCAGGTGCCCCAGGACTGGGATTTTTAAAAATCAGGAGTGGATTATTGGCCAGCATGAGGTTTTGCCAGATTCCCCCAAGGTTCTGGACTCAGGCTAAAGAATTAGGATGGAAATGCCTCTGGAGTGCCCAGAAAGGCTGCAGGAATTTCTTGTTCTCTGGTCATGGGGAGAGCAGGGGGACTGGCCTGTGGCCTTTCCGTCCCTAGGGGTGACAGTTCCTGAGCCGAGACGCTAGAGTGGAGGACCCAGGGCAATCCTAGACTGGGTTAACAAACTGGCAATCCACATCTATAAGGGCAGCAGCTCATTGGGTGGGGGAGGATGCCCACACCTGTGAGGCAGGGTTTTTTTGGGGGGTGGGGGGGAGGCATGCTTTTGCCATTGCAACTCAGTGTATCCTTGACAAGACACATCACCTCTCTAGACTTGTTTCCCCTCATCTGTGAAATGGGGGTGACATAAGTAACTGTACCTCCAGGGCTCATGTGAGAATTAAGTAAAATATACAAATGAAGTGCCTGGTATACAGTGGGCGCTGAGCAAATGGTAGCTCTTTCTCCAGGCTGGAGCAGGGGGTGCATATGAATGTCTGGATATGAAGTTGAAACCTCCACCAGCTGGAGAGAGTGAAAGCACCAATAAATGGCCAGAGTTTTGTGGAGAATTGACCAGCTGCCTTCTTTCCCCAGCGCCTGCCATACCAACTGGTCCTGAACTGGGAGACGTATTAGGACTCCAGGGAGCACCCTGTTGGAAGGGGGGTCGGGGCAGGTGTAAGTTCCTTGCTTGGCTGGCCGGGGAAGCGTACATGCGAGTGTCCTTAGAGATTTGAAGGGAGCAGGATCCAGATTGACTTGCGAGGCCAAGAGGACGCCGCCAGGAGGCCCACTTTAGCTTGGGTTCTGCATTTCTAACATTTGGGCTTCCGGAAAATGGCCCGGGGTCCCGGTTCGGGCAGGTTTCGAGCGTCAGGACTCAGGAGCTGTGCTGTCGGGGAAGCCGGGGTTGTCCTAGGGCGGTCGCCGGCAGGCTCTCCGCGATGCGCTTGGCCTTAGGTGCACGGAGGTGTCTCACCTCACGGGTGGCTGGATGCCTGGCCCGCTGGCGGTAAGGAGCTCCGGGGCCGGGACGGAACCCCCTTACCCAGTACTGGACTTCCTTCTCGCGCCCTGGGCGAGCGAGACTGAGATGCGGTGTGCGCCCAGCAGCCGCCCCGGGCTGTTGTCGTGACCTGGAGGACGCGCGTCCCCTACCCCCGCCTCCGAGGGGGCCGCAGCACGCTTCTAGGTGGGTGTGGGGGGCGCCTGATGTCTCCTTTCTGTTTTACAGCTACTCCCCTGCAGGCGCCTCCCTCCTCTTCTCGGGCACGAACTTGCCGTCAGCAACCGTTCGTAGGAGGGCGTGCGGGTGGAAAGGTGAGTGGCCAGAGCCGGGGTGTGGGAAGAGGAGCTGTACGCCCGCACCCTCGCTCTGCCCGGGGGTGCCAAGAGCGGGCGCGCGGGCCGGCAGTCCGGAGTTTGGGAGATTCCACCAGCAGATCGGTGGAGCGTCTGTGTTTTTTACCTTGGTCCCCCAAAAAGGCAACTCCTCCTCCTCCCTAGGCCCGGATCCGGTGTCATCCCCGTCCGCGTCCCTCCCCAACACGCCGGGAGCGGGTTAAGCACACACCTAACAGGCACTCTGGGCTCTGTGATACAGTTCGGCGGAGCACGGCGTGGGGCTCCCAGTAGGCGCCCAGTAAAGGCGGCCCTGATTCTGGCCTCCGACGCGGCCTCCTGGACGCCGGGGGGCTCTCCCCGTCGGCGTTCCGCGGCAGTCCGAGGCGCGCAGCCCCGGAGCCTTACCCTTCTACCTGGGGTGGCGCGGCGGCCTCCCGCCGGCCACGCAGCAGCCGGGCCGCAGCCGCACTCTCCGGGCTGCAGAGAGCGGGCTGAGCGGCGCGCACGCGGGGCCGCTCCCGCGCCTCGTGTACGCCGGGACGCCGCGTGGGCCTACGGCCTTCGGACTCCGCGGTGCCGCTGGCCACGGAGCGTGGGCGCGGGGAGGGGGGCCGCGCACACCGGACCCCGGGCCGGGCGGGGAGGCGGGCGCCGCGGGGCCGGGAGGCCATTTTGAGAGAGCGAGGAGCGGCGGCAAGATGGCTGCGTGGGCACGAGGTAGGTCGCGGCGCGGCCCACAGGAGCGGAACGCGCGTCGAGCGCGCCCGCCCGGCCGTCCCCGCCGCCGCGCTCCGGGCGAAGGCCCTTCGGC